TATTCCTATGTAATTATTCCTTACATCAACAATCTCACATTGACAATGATAATTTAATATAAAAATTTGCCAAAAACCATGAAGAATCTCTCACTATTTGTATTTGTATTTGTATTTGCTTATAATGATTAAATCCAAGCTACATTTTCAAATTATTGCCTTATATTATTGTTACCTTACTACCAGATTAGCAATCATTTATTTCATTAATTTATAACATGTTTGTGTATTGATGGGACGACAATTTATTGAATAGCATAAATGAATAATTAACTGACGCATGTTAGAGTATTAAGATAAAAGAGTAACTCTTTTTGATTTTTATTTACAAAAATACAACTTATTTTTGAGATTTTTTGTTATCAAAATGTAAAAATGGCAGGATTTGTATCGGGATAAAATTAATTAGCGCAAAAATATACAATTTTTGCTCAAGTTCAATTGAATGGATAAAGAATGGGTTTTGGAAGATCGGTTATTTAAGTTAAGGACTAACAATATGAAAGGGGGAGAACTATTTTAAAATAAAATATTGGTACAATTGAAATTAAGAGACAGGATTAAGAAGTAAAATTAATTTTCTTCTGAACCTGAAAATAAAAGTAAAGCACTTGTGGTGGTTGCGCATCCAGCAAATCGTTGGTTTTTTAAAAATTAAAGACTTGAAACCTTAATAAGGTTAGATACATCAGATGAGATTGAGGAGAATGGGATGAAGATGATGATGGTTAATGTATACAAAACAAGTTAAAAATTGATTAACGCTAAAATAGTGATGAAGAAGAGACAAATTTAAGATTCTCCTCATTCCTTACACAATAAGTATACACAACGAAAATAAGATGATTTGAAAAATAAATAGGCAGAAGGTTGCCTGTTGATGGCGTTGTAAGTAGCGAATTACCCACAGGATAGGCCAACGTTAGATTCCAACGCTTCTTTAATCAAGCGAGAATAACGTATCTGTATTTATCTACTGTATCGTTGTTCGAATGTGATTTTTATCCTTTTCTGGCAAAAAAATTCAAACCGGTTTTACAGGTGATACAGTATAAACTTGGAATCAAAGGTTGGTGGTGAAGATGACAATGATTGTCTTTCAAAATGATACATAATGTGATAGTTATAATTGTTTGATTGTTCAAATTGTGTTGATAACTATGGACTTATTCAGCATGAGTTGAATTTATGTTTTTCTGGTGTTTCCCAGTTCTATTAAAGATGATGGTAAGAATGATGTTGATGAACAATTCGATAGTAATTAAGAAATAAGAGATCCATAATGGTAGACATAATGATGAATAGATTAACAGTGATCAAAAATTCGACATTGAATGGATCAAATTTACTCAGAGTAAATGACCTGTTTGTCGATTAAACAAGAAGATTGAAATAATTTCTTGCTTGATGCGGCTCTTTACGCGGATCCATTTTTCATTGGTTCCTCTCCAGGCTTTTCACCATCGTAAGTCTGAAAAAATGGAATGAAAACGTTTTTTTAAATTCTTGATTCAACAATTAATTCAAGTATCAACCAATCTTAAATTACCTTATAAGTGGGATTATCATAAGCTGCTTCAGACGGAGCTCGAGTTATTGCTGCTTTGGCACAAGTTTTAGTTTTCATTAAGACACAAAGTAAAGTCACAAATCCGATTCCAGTTATAATGGCAAAAATGGCAACGATCATCAAAGCAATATAATAAGGTTTAATTGCTTCACCGCTGCTACTTTCCTTAAGAGCTTCAGCTTCATTGGCTATAAAAATGAAAAGAAAGTTGAATAAATTAATAATTGTTCAGCAAAATTTATATTATAACAAGTTATACCTGATGGATCATCGTCTCTGTTTTCATTAATTACAGGTTTAAGATCTTCTTTTGTATTAAATGTTACTGTATTTGTTGAAAGAGTTGCTCCATTAGCAAGGTAAAGATCCATCCATGCCTTATAACGGTTATTTGGACGTAATCCATCGACAATTACGGTTCCATCTTCAGATGGAGTTTTAAACATGTGAACCATCTTATTCTCCAACCCTTCTGAATTGGCTTCTCGGAAATTAACTTTAACAACATTTACATATTTATCAGTTGGCCTGGGAAGACCACGAAGCTTAATCATAGTACGATAACTTTCAGGGGAAACATCAATTGAGGGTACAAAATCAAATTCATTAGGACGAGCTGGCATCTCAATCGTAACTGGTTTAGCGGAAAGTAATTGAGTTTGCAAGCTTTCCGCTGGCCTAAGAATTAAATCAACCACATAAGAAAGGCCAGACCTTAGATCACGTAAAGTGTATTCATTGACATCACGATGAATCATTGGAGTGGTTATCCATTTATCAAATGGATCAGTGGTTAAACGGTATTTAATTGTGATTCCATCAATGAGTGACTTTTCTCGCGGTTCCAACTTTCTCCAAGATAATTTAGCAGTGGTTCCGTCTACAGCAACCACATGAAGCTCAACATCCATCGTTACTTGAGGTGGAAGAGTTGATGAAGATGTGAATGGAATAGGAGATGAAACTGATGAAGAGGAAAGTAAAGTTGAACTTGTAAGTGGATATCCATGAGAGCCGG